CCGTTCATCGGCAGCCTGACGCTTGTAGCACTGGTTGATAGTGTGGCCAGACTTCTTGCAGTATTTGCAAAAAGCTCCTTTCTTTCCGCGTTGCTCTCCTTGTGACGCTCCTGTGTAGAAGACTAATTTCTCCCGTTTGACATTCTTCTCATTGTACATGTCAATCTCCTTCTGCTCGGAAAGGAGCGTGGCGCACAGAGCCGACTCCGATATTGTTGCTCGGGCGTGCAGGAGTGACTGACATTGTCGCCAGTCAGGGCCGAGGCCAGAGATGACCATCGAAATGAACATTTCGTCGGGAACGGTCCCACCGCACTTTTTGACTTGATCGCGCAGATTGCGGCACCGGTTAACATACAGTCCCGCCTTCTCCCCTTGTTTCATTCTAACCGAAGTCAACTGGCTGAGCAGACGACTCATAGTGACTGGATCTGTTGCCATGTATGAGTTGCGCAAGTGTTCCCAAGACGCGTGCGCGGGAGCCCACTCCGTTTTGTAGGGACGAATGCCAAGCTGCTCTTCAGGTGAGAGATTTCGAAGGAGAGCGGTATACGCGAGGAGGGATTCGTGGTAGCATTGATGCTTCTCTTGGATGGTGCCTTTCGTAGGAAAGGGTAGGCTCCCGTCGTAGTACATCCAGATCTGAGCGGTTGTCGCGAGAAGCTCAAATTCAAAACTCCACGTGTAGAAATCTTTGCCTGTCAAAAGGAATTGAGGTCTTCAATTTTGAAGTCAATACAAACTTGGTTTGCATAGAGACGATTTCTAATTGTGCTCGTTGTGGGTTGTCTTGTGCAGGAGCAGAGCCTTGACGATTGTCAAAGGTGAAAGACCTCTCGGAGTTGACGCGGCGTTCTTCTCGAGGGAGAGGGAGTCCAGCAACTCCTCTGGCGTAGCTGGAGCCGTCAATGCTCATTGCTTGATGGCTCTCAAGGGCGTTGATGCGTGCGATTAGCTGCTCAACGACAGCGGCGCTGACGGAGGTCACCGCTGATGGCGCATTGGTTGTTGCTGGTGGTGGGCCCGGTGAGTCTGCAGTAGCTTTCCCTTCAGGAGCCATGATATTGCAGACTCAGAAATGTATTGAGTAAGTTCATAATGAGATTGTTCTAGGAAGAACGAGGACTTGGCAGATCTTATAATCTACTCTAGCTCTCATACCATGCTAATATAACCAAAGGATCAAGTAGATAGGATAAGATCTGCTAAGTCTGAGAGGAGACAATGAAGTCTCTGTGGTGACTGAGAAACTGAACGAGAATGAATTGACTAAGGGAAAGTTGGGTACAAAAGCAAACCCTAGACAACTGTACCCTATATGTGCTACCCCACTATAGCCTACAGTAGCTATGTCATATAAATCTGACACACCCCCATAGGCAAAGTGGGGGAGAACAAGGGGTCACAAGACCAGTCAAGCAAAGCAAAGCAAGCTCAGGGTGGATCACAAAGTCACCACACATTCCGAGCACAAGTTCAAGGCCACAAGGCCAGTTCACATGCAGGATTACATATATATATAAGGCTAGACAAGCAAGAGCAGGTGTATATATATATGCAACAGTACAAACAAGGTCAAGTGGTGAGCAAGTGAGGCAAGGTAGGCACAAGACCCAGCTGAGTACAGAAGCGCTGATGATCACAAGGCGCAAGTGCCTTGGTGAAGATATCAGCAGTGTTGGCCTCAGAGGCCACGTACGCAAGCCGCAGCTGACCACGCTGCTGTAGCTCATGAGCAAGGAAGTAGCGGAGAGCAATGTGCTTCGTTCTGTGCTCCAGTCTCTGCTCTCGACACAAGGCCAGCATGGCCTTGTTGTCTACGTACAGCACTGGAGGAGAACGAGGCGGCTCTCCGAGGTCAGTCAGCAGGTAGGTGAGCCAGCGAAGCTCCTGTGCAGCCATGGCCCCGGCGTAGATCTCAGCCTCACAACTGGAGCCGAGAACAGAAGACGAGCGGGTAGCCCGCCACGAAACAGAGCCGGAACCAAGGCTGAAGGTGTAACCCTGTGACGACCGCTGCGTAGCCTGGTCGTCAGCCCAAGAAGCGTCTGCGTGCCCAGCGAGGACCACTGGACTCTGCCCTCCAAGCACAAGCCCCATGCCCGACGTACTGCACAAGTAGCGCAACACCCTCTTCGCTGCAGCCATGTGCTCCGGTCTGTGTCTCCCAGGAGCAACATAGCGTGCGAGAATGCTAAGAGGGTATGCAAGGTCAGGTCGTGTGCAGGTCATCAGGTACATGAGGAAGCCAACAAGCTCTGGGTACGGGCCACTCGACTCTACGGACTCATCCGAAGGCAGAGCTGAGAGCGAGTGGCGAGTAGGCAGAGGAGTGGCCTGAGGCGAGGAGTACGTGAAGCCGAAGCGCTGAAGGACCTGCTGCACCATGTGTGACTGAGTCAGGGTAATGGTGCGGCGTGCTCTGTCCCGGGTGATCTGCAAGCCAAGGTAGCTGCGCAGTTCACCCAGGTCTGTGCACGTGTGTCTCTTCTGCAGCTCGGACGTCACGTGGGCGAGTCCAGCAGTGTCAGCTGTGGCAAAGACCAAGTCGTCGACGTACACGAGGATGTAGAACGGCGGCAAAGAAGTGTCGGTGCGCAGAAACAGCGACGGGTCGGCAGTAGAGGGAGCAAACCCAAGAGCCGCAAGTGTAGTCCTCAGTGTGTCGTGCCACTCACGCGGTGCCTGGCGGAGACCGTAGACTGGCCGCTGGAGGCTCCACTGGGTGCCAGGAGGAAAAGACCCAGTGAAGCCAGGTGGGCGACGCAGCCAGATCTCCTCGTGCAGGCTGCCCTGCAAGAAAGCAGTGCTGAAGTCAAGAGAGTGCAGCTCGTAGTCGCGGTGAGCAGCTATGTGCAGCAGTACCCGAAGAGTGGTCATCTTCGGGGTGGGAGAGAAGGTCTGAAAGTAGTCAACTCCCTGCCGCTGACTGAAGCCACGAGCCACGTAACGCGCCTTGAAGACAGGCGGAGAACCCGGCGGCCGCTTCACCCTGAAAATCCACATGCCACTGACGATGTTCGCCCCAGGCGGGGGAACCTCGTCAACGTAGGTGCCTGTGGACTTCCAGGAAGCCATCTCTGTGTCCATAGCTGCCTGCCACTGAGAGGAGTAGGGACCCTCTATCGCCTCCGCGTAAGAGCGCGGAATCGGGATGTCAAGTGCATCCGGGTCTCCCACAGGGGTAAGCAGTACGGACACGAGATGAGGTGAAGCAGCAGCCAAACACCGGAACTCCTCCTGCCTGTCCTCAAGGACGTCCGTGCCAAGGGCACACTCACCCCCGACGGACGGAGGACAGACAGACTCAGACTCATCGACAAGACTAGCAGCGTAGTCTAGACGACAGCGAGCAGCAAAGTCGACGAGCTCAGCAACTAGGGCAGACGCAGCAGTGGACTCAAAGGAAGGGTCAGTGACGACAGTAGCAAGGAGACGCGTGACAGTAGGACTGGCAGCACGAAGAGAGTCCGACTCCGGGTCGGGAAGAGCAGGAAGAGAGGACTCAGGAGGAGAAGGCAAAGGGGCACGCAGAGGAGCAGTGGACGGACGCAGAGACATCCGGTGCGTGCCAGGGACAGGAGGAGGACGCTGACGCGAACCACGACAGCAGCACCAGTAGCACCCCCAGTAGGACCGCCTCCAGGACCGACAGCAGTAGCCTCAGTGCCAACACCCTCAGCAGCTCCAGCTCCAGTCGTACCCGCAGGCCCAGCAGCTCCAGTACTCCCAGTACGAGCACCTCCGGGACCCGCGGCACCAGCACCCTCAGCAGCCGAAGAACCTCCAGCTCCAGCAGCACGCCTCCAGCGCCGGGCAAACCACTCGCGCAGCTCCTGTGGAGAGAGTGGCTCCCGCCGAGACGAAGCACCCGGAGAACCTCCAGGCTCAGCACCGCCAGACGCCACACGAGCAGGCCCAGCTCCCTCAGGCTCAGCACCTCCAGGCGTAGCACCCCCAGGCTCAGCACCCCCAGGCGTAGCACCCCCAGGCTCAGCACCCCCAGGCTCAGCACCCCCAGTAGTAGCACCCCCAGGCTCAGCACCCCCAGGCTCAGCACCCCCAGTAGTAGCACCCTCAGGCTCAGCACCCCAGGCGTAGCACCCACACGCTCAGCACCCCCAGAGTCAGCACCCCCAGGCTCAGCACCCTCAGCAGCACCAGAGTCACCAGTAACCTCGACAGGCTCGACTGCGTCTACCTGGGACACACCTGAAGGGGCAGGACCCTGAGGGGGGAGGGGGTCTACCGGGGGGGGACCTGGCACAAGGAAGAGCGGTGGCGGGGGGAGGGACGGAGTGCGGTAGGGGAAGAGGCGGTAGTAGGGGACCGACTCGTCAAACGTGACATCCTGGGAGGACAGAACACGGCGAGAGGTGGGGTGGTAGAACTGCCACCCTGGCGCGTCAGGGGGGAAGCCAAGGAAGACGCAAGGAGCAGCACGAGGGGACAGCTTGTCCGCAGACAAGTCGCGGACAAACGCCCGAGATTTCCAGACACGGAACGCAGACGCATCGCCAACCTTCCCCGTCCACAGCAAAGCTGGGGAGGTCTCCGGCATGGAGACCCTGGGGTGAAGGTGTCGCGATATATATTTATATATGTTTATAACTGCCTGTAGCTTTAGCTTTAGTCTAGTTATGTTTCTTTGTTGTGGTGGTGCACCTCTTTGTTTCTTTGCTATATGTTCTTGCAAACCTATAGTGAAGACACACATTCTCGATTCTCTCTTGGCACAACTCCCTCGACACCCGCTTGGCCTAGGCTACTAAGCCTAGGCCCTTAGTTAAACCCGTTCCTAGCTAAGTTCGTCTCGTGACATGGTAACAGAGTGGTCCGTCCTAGGACCTATTTCGTTTATGGGCCCACCACATTTCGCGACTGCTACAGTTAGTGGCGCGAAATCCGCACCTTGCGTATCTTTTTTTTTTCCCTGCTGCTCGCGCTGCCCCCCGTCGCCTGCCTCGTCGCGGCTCTCAGCGCGACGGGCGCGGCGGACGCTATGGCGAACGCCAGCGGACCCGCCGCGAGCGACCCGCCAGCGAAGTCGCCAGCGAAGTCGCCAGCGAAGTCGCCAGCGGCCCGCGATCGCGTTTGCGCCATCGACTGCAGCCAGCGCCTCCTTGCACCTCGCCCGTCGCACTGGCGGTCGCTGTGGGGGGGAGAGGGAAGAAGGGATGGGAGTGGCGGCGGAACTCTGTGGGGGCGAGAGGGAAGAAGGGATAGGAGTGACGGGGGAACGCCAGCGACGATCGCCAGAGCACTGGCGATCGCCCCCCCCGTCGCGACTGTTTGCGTGTGCAGCGGCGGTCGCCATGGGGAGGAGAGGGAGGAGGGGAAGGGAGTGGCGGTGGGACGCTGTGGAAAGGAGAGAGAGGAGGGGAAGGGAGTGGTGGCGGAACAGCACCAGCGCCAGCCGCCAGCACCAGGAACCAGCACCAGCGCCAGCCGCCAGCACCAGGAACCAGCCCCAGCGCCAGCCGCCAGCACCAGGAACCAGCCCCAGCGCCAGCCGCCAGCACCAGGAACCAGCCCTAGCGCCAGCCGCCAGCACCAGGAACCAGCCCCAGCGCCAGCCGCCAGCACCAGGAACCAGCCCCAGCGCCAGTCGCCAGCACCAGGAACCAGCCCCAGCGCCGGCCGCCAGCACCAGGAACCAGCCCCAGTGCCAGCCGCCAGCACCAGGAACCAGCACCAGCGCCAGCCGCCAGCACCAGGAACCAGCCCCAGCGCCAGCCGCCAGCATCAGGAACCAGCCCCAGTGCCAGCTGCCAGCACCAGGAACCAGCACCAGCGCCAGCCGCCAGCACCAGCACCAGCAACCCCACCTGTGACCAGCAGCCCCACCTGTGATCAGCAGCCCCACCTGTGACCAGCAGCCCCACCTATGACCAGCAGCCCCACCTGTGACCAGCAGCCCCACCTGTGACCAGCAGCCCCACCTGTGACCAGCAGCCCCACCTGTGACCAGCAGCCCCACCTGTGACCAGCAGCCCCACCTGTGACCAGCAGCCCCACCTGTGACCAGCAGCCCCACCTGTGACCAGCAGCCCCACCTGTGACCAGCAGCCCCACCTGTGCCCAGCAGCCCACCTGTGAAAGACTGTACAGGGACCATCGTGGGTTGGGAGAGGTATGGAGGAAGACAGGGGTGGAGGGAGTGCGGTTCCAGGGGGCGACTGAAATGGGGGGTGAGGTTGAGGGCGGGTGGTTGGTTGGGGGTGGGGATGTGGGGGTTAGTAAGAGGGGACGCTGTGGCCACCCCCCCACCTCTTCTCCTCATCCCCCACTCAACCCCCCCTTTCGTAAAAGGGGGTTAGTAAGAGGGGACGCTGCGGCCACCCCCCACCTCCTCTCCTCATCCCCCACTCACCTCCTCCTGTGTTCTTATCTATTCTCCTCTCCTCTCTTCCTCTTGCCTCCTCCTCCTCACGTACCCCTCTGCCGTCTCCCACCGCACCTGCCCCTTCAGGGGGTGTGACTTGCTCTAGCTATGTGCTGCAGGCAATTAAGGGGGTGTGTCGCGATATATATTTATATATGTTTATAACTGCCTGTAGCTTTAGCTTTAGTGTAGTTATGTTTCTTTGTTGTGGTGGTGCACCTCTTTGTTTCTTTGCTATATGTTCTTGCAAACCTATAGTGAAGACACACATTCTCGATTCTCTCTTGGCACAACTCCCTGGACACCCGCTTGGCCTAGGCTACTAAGCCTAGGCCCTTAGTTAAACCCGTTCCGGCGAGAGGTGGGGTGGTAGAACTGCCACCCTGGCGCGTCAGGGGGGAAACCCAGGAAGACGCAAGGAGCAGCACGAGGGGACAGCTTGTCCGCAGACAAGTCGCGGACAAACGCCCGAGATCCCCAGACACAGAACGCAGACGCATCGCCAACCTTCCCCGTCCACAGCAAGGCTGGGGAGGTCTCCGGCATGGAGACCCTGGGGTGAAGGTTGATCTGATGCGCCGCGTACCGAACCGCAAACGGCCACAGAAAATGGGGGGCAGCCGCATGCATCATGGACGTACGGGCGACGTCCATGACCATGCCAATGCGGCGCTCAGCAATCCCATTTTGCTGTGGAGAGTCCGGAAGCGTGAAGGTCTGGCGGATGCCTCGTGCACAACAGTAGGCTCGCAGAAGGCCAGAGGAGAACTCTCCACCTCTGTCAGAGTGCAGACGCAGAACAGGAAAGTCCGAGCCGAAGCTCTGCCTGAGCTAGAGACGAGCTGCGCGGATCCAGTCGATCAACACCTCAGTGACATCACCCTTGCTGCGCAAGGGGAAGACTGTGGTGTAACGCGAGTAGTCGTCAACCACCAGCAGGAAGTAGCGCTCGTGACCCTGTCCACGGACGCGGGCCGGGCCCCACACGTCCATGTGAAGCGTCTGCAGCGGAGCCTCTGTCGGAGGAAACTGGGAGGAGTGAGGGGAAGCCCGCTGCCGCCCCTCGACACAGGGGACGCAGGTAGGGCCAGGCCCCGGAGGAAGGGGAGGGAGGGACCGGGGAAGACCAGAGACAAGGACACGGGAGGCCATGCCTCGGAGACGAAGCAGGGAGGGGTGACCAAGGCGGTGGTGCCAGAGGAGAGTCTCGTGAGACAGGAGGCGACACGAACAGGGGGCAGACTCAGGACCAGACCTGGACGCTGCAGCAAACACCTGACCCGACGCAGCTACCTGACCAGACGCAGTGACTGGAGGAGACGCAGTGGTCAGTGTGTACAGGCTCGACCCCGGCCGACGTGTAAACGTGGCCAGGTGTCGGCCTGTCCGAGCGTCCGTGCAGTGGGTCACCCGCTGACTCGCAGGAGTGAACTGGTGAACCCCCGCATCCTGTAGGTCAGCACCACTCACCAAGTTCGTAGAGAACGAGGGGAGGTAAAGACCAGACAGGGTGCCAGAGGGGCCCGCCGGACACGGGAGGACAGTGGAGAAGTGAGCAAGGACAAGACCCCTAGAGGGGTCTGCCAGAGAGACTGCAACTGGCCGGCCAAGCGGCGTGAGTGTGGTGCGGTCTCGAAAGAAGGAGCGAGAAGCCCCCGAGTCAAGGGTGAAGGTGTGGGAGGCCGAAGCCGACGCAGTACCTGAGAGAGCAGACTCACCAGCACCTGAGGGAGCAGACGCACGAGCACCTAGAGCAGCAGCCTCGCTAGCACCTAGAGCAGCAGCCTCACCAGTACCTAGAGCAGCAGTCTCAATGCCCGGGTCGGGCGGAAAACACCGATAACAGTCACCCTCATCACTAATAGTCACAGCATACATGGCAGCAAGAATAGCATCAAAGTCAAGGTCAAAGACAGCTACACCCGCCCTAGACAGCTCGCCCCAGCGGGGGATCTCAGTGGCCTCAGGGAACTGGTGACGCCAAGCGTCCGTCAGGCGGCCAAAGCAGCGCTGGGTGGAGTGCGCACCCCCGCACTGCTCACCCGCGCGGTCGCCGGTGCGTAGGACGTAGGTGCACGGACCAGTACCCCCACCCCGCTGGCGTGCAGCGTACCACTCACGGAGCTGCTGAGGGAGGGGGATGTCACGAGTGCGCTGCTGCTGCTGCTGCTGCTGCTGCTGCTGCTGGCGCTGACCACCACCGGAGCCGACCCTCTTCGCAGTGCCACCCCGACCAGCTCCACCTCCTCCGCCGCCGCCTCCTCCACCGCCGCCACCTCCGCCACCTCCGCTCCCACCGCCACCGCCGCCGCCGCCTCCGCCTCCACTGCCGCCACCGACACCTCCACCCCCGCCACCACTCCCACCACCACCCCCACCCCCTCCACTGCCTCCACCGCCACCTCCGCCACCCCCGCCAGCCCCTCCAGCACCCTTGCCCCCCTTGCCCTTGCCGGTGCGGCGTCTCCCGCTCGGGGCAGACGCAGCGCCGACCGACTCGAAACCAACGAGGTCGGCCGCAGCAGCAGAGGCAACAGAGGGCAAAAGAGGGGAGGGGGAACACCCCTCAAAGACGGGGGTGCGAGGGTCACCACGAGAGGCTCCTACAGCGACTATGCTCTTCTCTGCTGCTAGGAGGGCCTTCTCGAGGAGGTCAACGGTGAGAGTGGTGGGGCAAACTGAGAGGAAGTGGTCCCTGACTACGCGAAGGGAGTCAGGGAGCCGGGTGACTATGTAGTAGAGGGTGATGTACATGGGGGGGGGGTTCTTGGCACAGAACTCAGCAGGAAGCGCAGCGCGGTAGCGAGTGTCACTAGTGCGGAGGTGCGTAATGAGGTCAGCGACTGTGGGAAAGGCAGCAAGGTCAGGGAAGAGGTACGGTAGCATGAGGCGGCTCAGTGCAGCAGTGGCAGGGGAGGAGTAGCGCGCAACTACAGCGTCGTACAAGGTCTGAGCACTCTTGTACTGGCTAAAGTGCGCACGCTCAGAGGTAGGCAGGTGGCGACGCACAGCAAGACGTGCAGCAGCATCGCGTGTGGCCCACTGTGAGCGAACAGTGGCGTCGGCATAAGCAGCAGGGGCAGGAGAGGCACCAGAGGTGAGGTCAAAGAGGGAGAGACCGCCTGCCCTATCGCACTGTAGGAAAAGCTGCAGGTCATCTACCCAGACGTCAAAGTCAATGGCCCGACCCTCAGCGTCAAAAGCGAGGACACTAGGGGTAGCCATGACAGCAGTAGACTAGCAGCGCGAACAGTAGGGTAAGGGCAGTGCAGTGACAGAGGCGTTGCTCTTACCGGACAGGGCGGCTCGGGCGGCTCGGCAACTCGGCGGCTCGGGCGACTCGGGCGGCTCGGCGGTACGGCGGCTCGGCAGCAACTGCGGCTCGGCGACTCGGCGGCTCGGGCGGCTCGGGCGGCTCGGCGGTACGGCGGCTCGGCAGCAACTGCAGCTCGGCGGCTCGGCGACCCGGCGGCTCGGGCGGCTCAGGTGGCGCGGCGGCTCGGGCGGCTCGGGTGGATCGGGCTGCTCGGCAGCAGCTCGGCGGCGCCGGCGGCTCGGTGGTGACGGCGGGGCCGCGTGGGGACGGCGGCTGGGCCGGGTGGAGCGGCGGCGGGGCCGGGTGGAGCGGCGTCGGGGCCAGTAGAGGCGGCGCCGGGGCCGGGAAGGGCAGCTCCGGGGCCGCAGGGGTAGGCGACGGGGCCAGCAGAGGCGGCGCCGAGGCAGGGAAGGGCGGCGCCGGGGCCGCAGGGGTAGGCGACGGGGCCGCTAGGCCGGCTAGGAGGGGGGGGTCGCGAGGGCGGCTTGAAGAGGCCGCGAGGGCGGCTAGAAAGGGCCGCGAGGGCGGCGTGAAAGGGCCGCGAGGGCGGCGCGACGCGACGGAGCCGCGAGGGCGGCGGATCGGGGCCGCGAGGGCGGCGCGACGCGGCCGCTAGGGCGGCGCGACGTGAAGGGGCCGCAAGGGCGACGCGACGGGGCCGCAAGCGCGACACGACGGGGCCGCTAAGGCGGCGCGACAGGGTCGAGAGAGGGGAGCGCGACTCGGGCAGTGTAGAGCGCGCTCCGGGCAGGGAAAAAAAAGGTGGTGGGCCCTAGGAACAGTTCCCACAGGGGAACCTGCTCGATACCATGAGAAACTGAACGAGAATGAATTGACTAAGGGAAAGTTGGGTACAAAAGCAAACCCTAGACAACTGTACCCCACTATAGCCTACAGTAGCTATGTCATATAAATCTGACAGTGACCTTGTTGATGAGAATGTGAAAGAGAACAAGATGATTATAAGATAGAAGTACAAGGATATAAATAGCATTCCTAGCTAGCCATGTACTCTGAGGGGTACATTCCCTTATTAACTGAATTGCATTGCTATAGTAACCCACGACTATTGCCATTCTAGACAGTTACCATGTCGCACTTCGCAACTGCCTCGTGCGGTTACTGGACAGTCGAGGGTCACGACCGTTGACTGTCTTGGACTGTTGACCTTCGGGTGACCCTCGACCTTCCGCGTGCTCTATATGAGCTATTGCGGTACTGGTACAGGCGTGCACTTCGTTATGGACTGACGCGGGAGTGAAGAACCTTCGGGAATGTTCATAATAACCTTTCGGTTATTCCAACAAAAGGGGTATAGATTTGTTTGCCCCGGCTGCACCATAGAATAAGGTACAAACAGTTTGCGGAAAGAGCGCCAAAATATCAGTTGAATATAAAACTTTGTTTTTTAAACACT